TGGCGTAAAGTGGCTGAGTATTTATCTGCATTGATGGCTTAACCTTTTTTGTGTACTTGATCAATAGTATTCCTTTGGAATCCCAGCACTTTGGCTATGATTTTACCGGCGATGTGATGTGATGTGACTGAACTTATTGGGGGTAGAGGGGGTCTGATCCCTTTTTAAGCCATTGCATAGACTCCTGTTTACTTTCAGGGTCATAGTGGTGAACCCACGTTTCATCTCCTATAACTATCCTTCCAAAAAACTTGTTGGGTCGTCACCACACAGCTCTAAAAACTCCCTACAATAGCCAACCCGACGGTATGTCTACTCTTCAATGTTGATATATATCCACGATTCTTCACCCACAGAGCACTTTTTATGTAACTTCACCGCTGCACTAGTACGTTTTTAAACTGCACGTGTTCATTGTAATTGCGCTGGCCTCGCATTTTCTCATGATTCACCAGCCTGTCAAAGTCCACTGCAAACGTCAAAGACATATAGACCTCTCTCGTTATCTCCCGTCCAGGATTTTCATTGTCACGCTTGGCAGGCGAATTGAGGATCGCAGTAATAAACCTTTCGCATGGATATTATACGGCTGCATCTATCTCTCCGAGATATACGATCTATCTTTACGAGACCCATGAGATGGAATGGGACGAAGGGTTCTCTTACCATGTGGCAAACACGAAGAAATTTGTCAGTTTTATCCACATTGATGTGGAAATACTCGGTCTTATTTATTTTAAAGTGTCTAGTCAAGAGATTGAGTATGGGGTAAGAGATTTTGAGTTTTACCACGGCCGCTGTGGTATTGTGGGTTTGCAATACTTAGCTTAGTCCGCATGGACAGTTCCCACGATCATAAAATTGATATCGCCCATAATTTTGCATTCTTTTTGACATAATCAGAAAAGAATTTGCAGTTTGCAATAGGCGATTGGAGCGATAAATTCCTTAGACGGAACTGCTTTAGCTTCAAATTAAGGTATTGAAAATGCCCATGCGATGATTAAATCAGCCTAGGTCCCCTTACTAATTACAAAGTTCGTGTCGCAGCTCATCGTCATTAAGTTAATATCAACTTAATCTTACGTAAAGGTAGTAGGTATACTATGTATCTACTATGAACGATCCAAACGTACTCTTTATGAAAGACGATTTAATATTTTTTTTCAGATAAACACTAAAGTAATCGAGGTACTTTTAACAAGTTAATGAATGTACATATATATATTGTTTGTGGTGAAAAAAAAACGTTATTATTATATACTACCTACATACTAAGCTAACTAATATGAAAGCGTGTGACATTGGTAGCAGGCTAAGGTTTCTTCAATGTCAAGCCGGAACCGGTTATAAGTAGGTGTCAATTAATATATTTCAACTGATCTAGATTATCCTAAATAAAACTTTGATCTGGAGTAGCATTAAAAAAGTCACTTCATTTAATTATAGTTTAGATAGCGCATCACAACTTAGATCCTGTGTGAGATTCCCACTTTCAGTAAAATTGTACTCTACTTTGTGATTCCCATAAAAAATGTACCTCACCTGGTTGACTTCGACGATATACCATAGCTAGGGTTTTGGTGGGGACACGCGTTCAAGCAAGCTGCTTTATAATTATAATTTATAAACCAGTTGCGATTTACCCGCCGAAGCCGAACGTTCTTGACGCTGTCCCAAACAAAAAGTACGTAAAAAACGTTGTGAATGAACTAAGTTTACGCGCGACGTAGTAAGTTGTGAGTGATGATTAAGTGAAACATTTTTTAAATTCAATTTCTAGTCGACTCTAAAGCTGACGTCATATTTCAAGAAGTTACGTTACTAAAATAACGAGTTTTGGTGTTTAAAGTAAGCAAGTAATACATAGATGATACGCAAGTTATGTTTATAAACAAACTTTATTTTTAAAACAGAACTGCAGTGGTTCGCAACTTAACAATTGAAGGCTATCATTTAAAAATTTCGTCGTGTCGTGTTTACTTTGTATATTTGATGAAAAGTGAAATTTGAATATTACGCACGTATACTTTCACTTATTGTCTATCACTATAGTACAGTTATTATACTTTTTTATCAGTATACGACATTTATTATATCCTTTGTCTATCACCTACAACTACAAGCGAATGGGTCTTATGGGCCTTGCGTTGTCCACTTTACCTTGAAGTAAGTCGCTGTGTCCGTGCTCCGCGCAAACTGTGCCACACGAGCATACACAATATTACGTGCACATGACATAAATATTAAACGAGTACCTACACGCATTGAAGTAATAGGTATGTACTAAGTACATTATGTTCATTACCTACATGTTATTTTGTTGACATAAGAGACGAATATACCTAATGAATAGGTACCTATCTAGTAACTTTTTACTTCATAATCAATAGATGAATACATTCAGTCTGTAGATTTTGACAGGCAATTGTTTACTTTCCTCGATGTATTTCTTTACAGTTACAACTTTACCTCTGATGCTTTTGTCTTTTGTATGGAAGAATATCGTTTTAAATTCAAAAACTATTAGATTTTATTTTGTATTTAAAAGTCAGGTTTATTTACTTATTATGTTATTCATTAAAGTATTTTATATGATATTTTCAATGGGTAAAGCAAGCTTGATATGATTTAAATTCACAGAAGGTAGTTTTGTTTTCTTATGACTTTTCTGCTAAATTATTTTGCTAAAAATGAAGACGCTAAATATGGGTTCTAGACCGAAATTTAATTTAAAGGTTGACAGGGAAAGAAAACAAAAACACACGCAGGCTCATTGGCGGTAAGAATATTTGTGTGACTTAAAGTTATTAGGAAATCAATAATCTACTAAAGTACTTACCTACAAAGTTTATTTCTATCTATATATTTGATGGAACCATTGAGAGTAGTAGAACCCACTCTTTATGGGGAGGCTTTTTCTTTCCTAAGCCTTTTCAACGTAGTCAGTCCTGATGGTGTACCTACCTATCCAAGATTTCAGGATTTGTAATTGTAAGGCAATTCTCCTTGACCCCGTAGTTTAATCATTTGTTTTTACGAATAAATAGAAATAGCAGGGTCTATTGGGGACTGTATATTACCTGGGATCATTGTCAAGCTGGAACTCATTGCTTTTGCACCTGTTGTATAGTCAAATATTCGCTGGTCGTTTGTGAAACCCTTGTCGTAGGTAGCTAGTGAAAGAGATAATTGTTAAACAGTTTATAGTACTTATCTTAATTAACAGTCACCGTAGTAATCGTGGCTATCGCGATTTATTGTGCTTTTGACAGATTTACGGTTACACTAACTTATTTTATTTTACAATTTTCAGTGAGGTATTAGAATTGACATCAGCGATTAACAATATTAAAGTAAAATATTCGTAATTATCCTATATTATATCTTAACCATGCTATAGAGTAAGTATTTTTACGACTTCACTACACACGCACACGGGAAAACCATAAGAACGTAGATTCTCTCATCAATTCTTTGTACGATGCATTCACAGTAAAGGCACGGAATAAATAATAGTTAAAGGGCTGACATGGAACTCACAAAAAATCCTGTCACGAGTCGGTACAAATTGGGGCAAAATTTGTAGTTTATACAATAATTTGGATATGATTGAGTTTAACTTTAATGTAGTGTTCATAAAAAAGTTGAGATTGAGGCACCAGTTTATTTTGTAACTATTATTAGTAAATTTTAATTTTTGATTTTGTTTTCTAAGTACAAACTTTTTTCTAACTGGATCTACTTATTTTGTGCCGCTATTTTAGACAATATTAAAGGATTTCTTATATCTGTAGGTTGAGACACTCTTCAACACATTCAACAACGATAAAATTATTATTGCTTAATAAAAATAATGACTTGTACAATGCCGCGGGATTTTGTACTAATGAGAGTACCTACTTACTAGAAAGTTTCTACGTAAGCCTGTTTCCGAGAACATACATTCTATATAGGTACACGCCAGTCTATAAATGTAATTGGAGGTACCAATTTTAACTTGTTATAGCTTTTACTTACAGAATATATTTTTTGTGAAAACTATAAATTTTGGCCCAATTTTTATTTACTCGTGCCAGGATTTATTCTAAATTCCATGTTAGCCTCTCAGTATAACGGCCCCGTTTTTTCGTAATGTGCTTAACAAAATAACTTCGAGGTTAGATAATCGGTCAAGATGATTTTTTATTTGCCCATACAGCATTGTTTCAACAACCATCCTATCCAGTGATAATTGAAACCTTAGTTATCTACTTTCTTAGTTTTTTTGAACATCTTAGGCTTATATTTTAACAAATGATAATATTATTTATGTTTAGAATTCCATGATCAGAGTACCGATTTTTTTGTGTGTTGTCTATTTCTATTTGTAAAAATGTATTACTTAGGTGTTGACGTAAACGATATATTATTCTAATATTCTTTATCAGCCCGCAGCAGTCCACCGCTGGGTATGGAACTCTCCCACTGTAGTGCTAGTGTAGTGAGGATTTGATTGGGTATTTAACGAGTCAACTTTTTCCCGAACTCGTCGCGACCGTCTGATAACAGTGTTTTCGATTGAAAAAATTCCACAGCCTGTTATGATAATAATATGTGATTTATCTTATTACTTATATGTACTTAATATGTAATTTGTTTAAGAGCTGGCCGTGGTAGCTCAGATGGTTAACGCTCGCTGTAAATATAAGAGAACTCGAGTAACCCGGGTTCGATCACAGCCGGCACCAATAAAATTGTTAATTGCAATTTAAAGTGCTGAGTTACCACGTGCTCGGCGGTGAAAGAAAACATCGTGAGGAAACCTGCATGTTTGAGGAATAAGAAAAAAAATATTTCGAAGACATGTGAAATTCACCAACACGAATTGGGGCTGCGCGGCGGACACTTCCTTGCCCTAAAACCCACTCAGAAATGAGGGAAGGCCTGTGCCCAGTAGTGGGACGTATATAGGCTGTAACTTTACTTTACTTTTTTATCTTATTATTTACAGAGTGGCAATGGGTATGGGCGGGGCCATGGATAGCTGTGGCAGGTGTATGAAGGTGTCACTCATTGCGGTCAATGTTGTTATATTTGTAAGTATTATAGAAACATACTAAACGTTCGAATGTAACGTAACATATCTATCTATCTATTCGATGCAATCTTGCCTATTGAAAGAATGCTTTTTGTGTTAGATCTGCTTATATGGTAAATATTAAGACTTTAATGTGTAACACTGTCGAAAATTATCACAGTGAACGCAAGTAAATCATTTAGTTTGCGTTCACTGTTCAACATAATAAGTAAAATAGTGGTAATAAAATAAAATGTATAAATACAGTGGCGCTAGACATTCACTTCTAACCGATGTAGGTAACTCTGATATTGCAGTATCGAAACACGAGGACAATCACAATACACAATCATATGAAATGAAATGAAATATAGTGAAGTTGATAACTTTATTTTTCGACGTAAAAATGATGTTTGTTAAATTTTAAATCTAATACTATTTCAAAATAAAAATTACGTGTATTACTCTGTACGAACAAGAAACGGTGAAAGAAACTCACACATATTTTTGAAGGCCATACAATATTTTCTCATAGGTAATTGAAGACTAACAACTTGTTTGTATTTAAATACATTTTGATCAGAATAGGTTCACCGTGACTCAATAGGACCGAGCACCAAACCACACGGTCGTTTCTCGGCTTCTCTATATTGAATCCTAAAGGAGTAAAAGTATTTATTTATTTAAAATCTTTATTGCACTTAAAATGTATGCCTTTAGGCATTCTCTACCCGTCAACCACGAGATAAGCAGAGAACTTAAGCATTCTCGAGGAATAAAATGGAAATCTTCAAAGAAGAGATGAGAAAGAAGATCAAAAGACTTTTTGCTACTTTGTACAAGAACATTACATAAGAATCTTGGATTGAGTTTGTAAAGGGGCGTCCATTAATTACGTGAGGCGATTTTGGCAATTTTTTCTATCTTCCTCTTCCCCCCTGGTGAGATGTCGTGAGATATATGTCGGATGATCGACCCGTTCGTCCCCCCAAATCTCACATAAGATTTTTCAAACTGAGTATTTTAAGTACAAATACGGTTTTAGTATAAATAAGCACCGATTAGCTTTGTTAGGTTAATAAATAAAAAAAAACATGATTTGCTTAATTATTTTTATGTAATTTGTGGAGTTCGCATAACCGCGATAAATATTATTGTATAATATTTAGCCATATTTTATTTTATTTTACTTAATTTAACCCAATTTTCTCGAAAATTTACACTGTTTTTTGTAGAAAAAAATTATACGTGATATGTGCCGAAACCGTCCGTCTCCCCCACATTTTTGAGATTAGGTGAGATTCGGCTCGAACACTCTAAACACCTAACGTTCAACGAACGCCCCTTAATGACTATCTAGAATAGTAATTATTTATACATAGCAAAACTAATGTTTATAAAATTGATCAGTATTACTTCTTAATCGGTAGCTGAGTGGTGCGTTCGCTTTGGGGGTGGGCACGTGGGTATGGGTGTCCCGTTCATTCTCAAGCACGTTGATGAACAATAACATGTTCATCGCGTCAGTCGCAGTAGTGGTCGTGTCTGGCGCCGCCATGATGCTGCTCTCCGTGCTTGGATGCTGCGGCGCTGCTAAGGAAGTGAAATGTATGCTGCTCACGGTACGTGATAACGTAATGTTTTTATAACACGATACAAAAATATGTCCACCTGGCCCGGTGTATATATATATATATATATATATATATATATATATATATATATATATATATAATACGTGTCACGTTGTTTGTCCACCATGGACTCCTAAACTACTTAACCGATTTTAATCAAATTGGCACACCGTGTGGAGTTTGGCCCAATTTGAGAGATAGGTATGTAGTTTTTTGCCCATGAGTGATCCACAATTTTTTTTGCGAATTTAAGGATTTTTAATAGGACATGACAAAGGGTCGTCGAAAAGGGCAGAACAACGTCTGCCTGACAAGCTAGTATATATATATATATAAATATAATTAATTTCTTATCGTAAATGGGGAGAACTAGAAAATTAATTGTTTGCACCATTTATTTTATCTTTGCGTGATTTTCAAATTGTAAATCGGCACATGTTTTTCGGTTTTGTGTGCATACAATCCTGTCAAGAGATTTGCTACGCAAGTAAATTGCTAGCTTTTGGGATCATATTCAGTAAATATTTGTTAAAATAATGTCAACGATGAGGTAATTTTTGTGGCAATTGGCAATTTTGAGAATATATTCTTAATTTTAATGTTTATCAGTATTCTTAGTATTACATCCGTTATTTGTTAATGGTAAGTTTACAATATTAAGACCTGTAAGCTAATTTATTCCAGATCTTTATCGTTCCGCTGAGTAATAACGTAGGGGACCAACGAGCAAGACGGAGAGGGTGGGCATAAAAAATAATTTGTTTTCTAGTTTATATGTATATTACTAGACGAACATAGGGTTGCCACCGTTTTTTTGAACAAATATAGTATTTTTCCCAAAAAGGATGCAAAATATAGTACTTTTGACACATTCCGGAGAAAAAAAAGTACACATTTATTTTTAATCTTTATGTCTGTATGTACTCAATAGAAATATGAATGTATTTTTCCATATATATATATATATTTTTTTATTGCTTTTTACTTTGGCCATCAGTGATCTAACCACCTTACCTTCTAACTTACTTTAAATATTAGGAGTCTGAGCAATGTATATTCTTATTAAAATAAATTTTTAAATAAATGGATATCTTTTAATAATGGATGATGGAATTACAGCGGAGTTTCTGAAAGCGGGTGGAACACCAGTGCTTAAAGTCCTTCAGAAGCTCGTCAATTCCGTCCTCCATGGTGGCACTACTCCGGAGGCATGGATCAGAAGTGCGGTGGTCTTGTTCTTCAAGAAAGGTGACAACGCTCTCTTGAAGAACTACAGACCGATTTCCCTTCTGAGCCGCGTCTACGTGCTGTTTTTGAGAGTCATTACGAATTGTCTCGCACGCAGACTCTACGACTTCCAGCCTCCCTAACAAGCCGGTTTCCGAAAAGGCTTCAGTACCATAGACCACATACATACCCTGCGACAGATTGTACATAAGACCGAAGAGTACAATCTGCCACTTTGCCTGGCGTATGTGGGCTATGATAAAGCCTTTGATTCTATCGAAATTTGGGCGGTGCTACAGTCACTTCAACGGTGCTAAGTTGATTGTCGGTATATCGAAGTGCTGAAGTGTTTATACAGTAGGGCTACGATTGAGTACAGAACCAGAATTCGAAACCTATCCAACTGCAGAGAGGTGTAAAACAGGGTGACGCTATATCACCGAAACTCTTCACCGCTGCATTGAAAGACGTTTTGAAGCTACTGGACTTTTTTTTATAGGATAGGGTGACAGATGAGCGCACAGTCCACCTGATGGTAAGTGGTTGCTGTGGCCCATAGGCATCTACATCTATCCTCGATTACGAATCAAAATGCAGATGCGTTGTCACCCGTGAGGACTAAGATGGAATGCCTCGTTTCCAGTAAAAAGGGTCTCCGGTTCTCTACACTCACCATACGAAATACAGCAGCATTAAGCTACTATTTCACGCTGGTATTCTGTGAGAGCGTGGTCCTTCCCCGGTCGAGCCGACCCATTCGTGCAACTATACTACTAATATGACGGCAGCATGGCTCTTCCACGTATAAAGGACTGAAAAGGATACGGTATTAACGTCAATGACGAGTGCATCACTCACCTCCGATTTGCCGGTGATATAGTCCTTATGGCAGAATCGCTGGAGGACCTAATCACTATGCTCAATAACCTCAATAGTATCTCCCAACGGATAGGTCTTAAGATGAACATGAACAAAACGAAAGTCATGTGTAATGTCCATGTCACACCTATGCCGTTGGTTGTTGGGAGCACTAACCAAGAAGTTGTTGACGAGTATGTTTACCTGGGACAAGTAGTCCGTCTAGGTAAGTTCAACTACGACCGAGAGATCAATCGACGGATTCAACTCGGCTGGGCAGCGTTCAGGAGATTGCGACACATATTCTCGTCAGGCATACCTCAAAATCTCAAAACTAGATTGTATAACCGGTGCGTGTTGCCAGTGATGACCTATGGATCTGAGACGTAGTCCTTTGTTGCCGGCCGTATGAGGAAGCTCAAAGTCGCTCAGCGAGCTATGGAGAGGGCAATGCTTGGAGTTTCTCTGCGTGATAAACTTAGGAATGGGGATATCCGTAGTAGAACCGGAGTAACCGATGTAGCCCAATGAATTGGTAAACTGAAGTGGCAATGGGCCGGCCACATAGTTTGAAGAACCGATAACCAATGGGGAAAAAAGGTTCTCGAGTGTCAGCCTCGTATCGGCAGGTGAAGTGTAGGGCGTCCCCCACACTGGATGGAGTGATGACCTGGTAACATATGCAGGAAGTTGATGGATGCAGGTGGCTCAGGACCATGCTTTGTGGAATGCCATGGATGCAATTATGGAAAGAATGCCTTGGGGGAGGCCTATGTTCAAGCTTATGTTCAGCAGTGGACTTGTGAAGGGCTGTAATGATGATGATGATGATGTTGTTGTTTTTCTTTATTCTCTCAGTTTTACATTCTTGATGGATAAAATTCTTTTTGTAAAACGTACTTGTTCCAGACTTCCAATCACAGTTAATATAACAAGGCGATAGTTAAATTAGGGATAAAAATTTAGTATTATTCTTCTATAATATATAGTACAATTGACTGAAATATAGTACTATAATATATATTATAGTACGAGTGGCAACCCTAGACGAACGTTACCGAACAGCGTGCAAGTAGTGACCTGCCGGCTGGGGGCGAGCGCATCGGGTGCGGTGCAGACAGAATTGTGTTTTTTTGTAAAAAAGGACCCATTTTTCAAGGTAATTATAACTTAATTTATTTTTTAACTGTTACTATTTTACTTTCGTTGATAGTTTTCCAGTTTCTGCATATTATTTGATGTTCATGCCCGTAGTTACTCAATATTTTATTATATTCACGTAAACAAAGATGAGTATTTTAATTTGAAAGTATGGGCGGGTATGATTGCACCGGGCAAAATGTATACTTATTTATATGTTCTTACAACTTAATGACTTACTTTTTTATTAATTTCAGATGGTGTGTAAATATAAGAGAATGAGTGGTTATGCAAACCGATCTGAAGAAAGTCCAATCGGCTTCGATATCAGATGCTAGTACGAAATAATTCATTCCGTATGCAACTTTATACCGGCATTTGAAATCTGGCATTGCTACAAAGAAGCTAGGCCGATTTGTATCTTACTTTACTACTGACGAGGAAAATGATTTAGTGCAATATTTACAGCGAATGGATTCAAATTTCTAAGGCATCAAAAGATCCAGGACGAACCAGGCCCAACTTGAGCAGAAAAGGAAGCACGATGTAACCTTTGCTTAGAAGAAAGTGGCTATTGAGCTAGACACCACGCCTGGAGCATCCAAGATTAAGAGAAAAAATACTTAGCTAAAAAAGGGCCCTGAAAGAACCAAGTATGACTACTTCTGCACTACATTTAAAGAAAAATGTGTTTCGCCTCCATTAGAAGAGTGAATCCAGTGCGAGTGATGTGACAGTGGAGTGAGAGTGGACCCACGAAGTGTGTTCCTCTTACAAAGGTCTAGAATCATATTTTTGTTACGATTACATTGACTAAATGGTGATTATTAGTTTACAACCGTTTTTCCCGCCGAAGAAATTCGTTTTGCCCGCCCAGGTTAGGCAAAACGGATAATAGCATGATTAAAAAATAATGTTATGTACAGAATGTTTAACTTTTCAGTTGAATTTTGTTAAAGTTTAAATCTATAATAACTATTGTTTCTTATTACAAAATGACTGATTAAAGAGGTTGACATTTAATGCCTTTTTTAATGTCAAAATTAACCTATTGTTATAGCGCATCCGTCCCATATTTAAAACTTAAGATATACGTACCTACTACATAGTAGTATTAGCTGTACCTGCTTACAACCAACATTTTAATTAATTTTGTTCCTTTTGTTAATTGTAGCAACAACAATATTGTGTGTTGCCACAACAATATTATATATGGAAATTGTTTTCTATGTTTTGTTGAGCTTTGCGCTAAAAGAATTGTACCATCTACTTCTTTATCAATCCCTATCTAAAATCTACACCTGAACGTGTAGATTTTGGATAGGGATTGATACTGAGCTATATTGATATGGGCATACCTGAACTCTTCTCCCTTGTTAATAAAATTATCGTGACAAACGAGCAGACAGTATATCTGATGGTAAGTGGATGTTGAAGCACAGACATCATCTATCATAGACATCTTCACCTTTAATTAAGAATCAAAATGCGGATGCGATATAATGCATCATTTCCAGTATAGGATCTCTGGTTCTCTACACTCACCATAGGAAACACAGCAGCATTAATTATGCTGGTGTTCTGTGCAAACGTGGCCCGTCTCCAGCTAAGCCGACTATAACTATTCAAGTTTTAACCATAATATAGCAGCAGTATGGCTCTACCACATTTGACAGGCGAGGTAACGATCTAAGTACCTAACGGCTTGTACTTTTGATGTTGCTGTTGCTTCAAATCTCTATAAATTGAAACTTATCAAAGATCGGTCTGCCGTGATATTCGCAGATTCATTAAGTTCACCTAAAATTTAATTTTACCCGACATTCCATAAGATATTTCACCGCAGCACATTACCCACTAAACTAATCTTAAAAGTTGCCGTACCTCACAAATTTTGCTTACATCTAATTATCTTAGGGTAAATATACACCTGTAGCACATTACTTGCTAAGCTAACGTTAAGTTTGCCATAAATAATTTTGTTTGTATCTTAGGATAATCCGACTGTTGCAGTTTAAATTGTTACTTAATACTGATGACGGCATTTATTTTCAACGACTTTGGTTCTTCGCAACACTTCAATCAACGACATGTTTTTTTTTCTTATTTCAGTATTACATATTAATCTTCATAATCTTTGTCGTGGCGCTTGTGGGTGGAATACTGCAGTTCGTGTTTCGTGAGAAAGTTCACACAACACTCGACCGCGAGATGTTCGCGTCTATTCCGTACTACGGCGTGAAGCACGAGTACACAAAGGCCTGGGACGACACGCAGACTTTCCTGCAGTGCTGCGGCGTAAGGAGTCATAACGACTGGAATGACAATGTCCCAGAAAGCTGCTGCAAAGAGGTTTATTCGGGAAAGGTATACTTAAATGCAGTTACGTCCTTCTTGTGAAATAGATAGAATCTTTCGGTGATCCTGACACGTTTTATAAAAATAAAATATATCAGTATGTTTATTTTATTATTTTAACTTTTTTGGATGTATAATATATAATATTCTTCCTACTTACAGTAAGAAAATTATATATTTTACAAACCGTTTTAAAAACACATAGTAGTCTGTCTTATGATTCGAACATTTTGCAAAGAAGAAGAGGTACTGTAATAGTAACACAGAAAGTAAACACAAAATTTGCTTCTCATCAACATAAAAAGCAATCAGTTTTTATATACAATAAAATAAACAAAATTCTCAATATATATAAATTGAATAGATATAATTGTAAACAGTTGTTGACAAAATGGTTAAAACAATTAGACTATGATAAAACAGAGGCTATTTTACAATGCATTATTTAGACACTACAATATTAGTAAGCAAATACACATAAACACATACATAAACACACACACACACACACACACACACACACACACACACACACACACACACACACACACACACACACACACACACACACACACACACACACACACACACACACACACACACACACAAGTTTCTTTTATAGTTTATATCCTACGGATTAAGTTGATCACTATTTGTATTATGGCTATGGAAGAGCGGGATCTTCTGGCACAGGTGTTTTTACACTTAAAAGAAGATTTCCACAATCTCAAGATCATTGTAAAAAAAAAAATTTTTAGTTGATCAATAAAGATTTATTATTATTATTATTATTATTAATATTCATCATCATCACCATAACAGCCTATGAAAGTCCACCGCTGAACATAGGTTTCCCCATATATTACGTCATGGTGAGATGTTTGCCATAGCTGATGTGGTTAGTGGGCGAGATGGTAGTTGCAATTTTTTATTATTTGGAATCACAATTTTTTATTAGGAAACTGCTGGTGCCCTTCATAAACGGGACAGTACAATCTTACTACTTACTCAACTATACACATTGCATCCATCACATTATCAAACACTATATTTAGTAAAGTTTAAGACAATAAAGTATTAATTTTTTTATGAAACCCTGGGTTATTTCTCTCACTTCTCGATTAAAGAGGATTTTCTTTATTCATGCTTGTCTTAATTTTTTCAGCGTTTGGACTGTAAAAGCTCTCCGAATCCAACCACGATGTACACGGATGGTTGTCTTGAAAAAGCTGTAAATTTCTTGAGAGAAAATGCGGTGAATGTTGGAGCGACAGCTATTGTAACCGCTATTATAATGGTAAGGAATAAAAAGGCATCAAGTTGCAAAAAAAAAAAACATTACACCAATAAGAGAAAATATATTTTTCTTAATGATTTCTTATATTTACGCGAACACTACACATTGAAATAATACTAGTTTTTACGGAATTTATCGCGTATATTTAACTTTTTAAATCCAATCCTAGGATCCTATCTTAGGATCCTATAATAAATAAAATTAAATCCCAACCCAAGCATACAACTGCAAGACTTCAAGATACCATAAGTTCATACTGTGTAGATCGGAACAAAAGTTAAATTTTCATCTATGGTAACCGCGGTTAAATATGACATCTGGACGTCGAACATCTCAGTCCCGCCCGTGACCATGAGTGCTGTAAAGCGTTCGAAACGTCGGGTATTTAAAAAGTTATATATACGCGATAAATTCCGTAAAAACTAGTATTATTTCAATATATTTTTCTTACTATTATCAGCCAGTCCTTGACTATGGTGATGCAGCCGAAGATGGTAAAGCACACTGACTTCGCTTAACAAAAGTCTATTTACTCTTGTTTCTACCTCCATTTGTGAAATATATAGTAATTTGAGTAAATCACATCTGTTTATTTGCACAATATTAAGTGCATCAGAATTCTGAGGTTTTTTTTTTTCATAGGAGTAGGAAGCAAACAAGTATACGGTTCACCTGATGTTAAGTGACTACCGAGTTAGTACGTAGATAGAATTTTTAAGTCTGAATGTTTACCTGTAGTAAAAAAACATTTGGACATATACCACGATTTAATACAACCGCTTAATACACCACAAGATGAAAAACATGTTTTTTGACGAGTTTTTTTCCATCGAAATGTTATTACAATATTGCCGATACAGCCAATACTAAACTACTTTACTTCGATACAATAAAACAAAGTAAAAGCTAAAGTTCCTGCCTATTTACAGTGCTACAGCCTTAAGTCTTTTCTCATATATGAGAGTTATAGAGCAGTTAGTCCGTCGTGTTTCTCCAGTTGGTCGTGTTGGTTGACTCCCTCAAAATATTTTTATTTTCTCAGATATATGTAGTTACATTTTCTCTGCCTTATTTTCCTTCATCGCCGAGCACGTGGCAAATTAGTGTACTTAAATTGCAAACACCTAACAATTTATTTTTTTCGACAGAACTTTACTTTTATTTAGAAATATTTCATTTAGTTTAGATCGTGGTAGAGCCGCGCTGGAGCTATATTTTATAAACCAGAGACAATTTTTATTGGAAAAGAGGCATTCTATATTAGTCCTCACGGATGACAACGCATATGCATTTTGATTCATCATCGAGGATTAATGTGTGGATGGAGGAGATTAAAGTGTTGACGACAATTACGACGCATCAACGACTTACCATCAGGTGGACTGTGTGGTAGTTTGCCACCCTTATCCTATAAAAAAATTACAGTTCTAGCACGAATTAGTCGGCTCGACCGGGGTCATCGTCAGGGTGTCACGGAATATCGGCGTAAATGCTACTGTTTCGCATGGTGAGTGTAGAGAACCGGAGACCTTTACCGTATACGAGGCATTCTATCTTAGCCCTCAGGGGTGATAACGCATCTGCATGTTATTTCTTAAGGCAAATGTAGATATCTATGAGCCACCACAGCATCCACTTACCGTCAGGTGGACTGCGTGCTCGTTTGTCGCCCTCATTCTATAGAAAAAACGAGTTTATAGTGACATTTAACCGTGTAATGACGGAATAAGAATATCCACTACAAACAAACGTATAACTATTATCTAAAGTACTGCGTAGTGACCGTGTAGTGACCGTGTGGTGACCGCGTAGTGACCGCGTAGTGACCGTGTAGTGACCGTGTAGTGGCCGTGAAGTGGCAGTATATTGGCGATGTAAGAATAACAACTACTCTATATCGTCCAGTGGATGTGTAAGAGGCGACAGAGGGAAATAAACCAGGAGACGGGCAGCAGCGTCTTTATAATAACAACTAAAAATAATCAACTGTGGCTGTCAACCCACCTGCCAAGCGTGGCGTCTATGGCAAATATCCTCCCTATGAAGCAATTTATGGAGAGGCCTGAGGCCTGAGAGGTATTTACTGAACTAATACATATTCCCACAACCACGTACACTGAAGGTTATAGGTCAGTATATACACCAACCTTGACAGACCCCGACGAGGAGGTGCAAAACTCATTACACCTTGTTGATAACTTTAATGCGAACAGAGAGAGAGAGAGAGAGAGAGAGAGAGAGAGCTAATTAGAAAGGAGTCAATCTATGGGGGAGGTCTGTTTCAGCAGTGGATTTTTAAAGGCTGCAATATACGAATGGATGGAGAGTTACATTACTAATTAACCTTTTCTTTCCAGGCGCTGGCACTAGTATTTTCATGCGGGCTGTTCGTGAAAATCGAATAACCTATAGTGATGTAACCAAAGTTATCGACGTTTTTTTTTTGTTGTTTGATTGACTGTTTTGATTGACGTTGATTATTAACGTTCTTTAGCTATGGCTGTTAGCTTGGTGTCATTTTTTGTATTACATTTTCTAATTTATTTAAAAATATAGGTGTATATTGAAATAAAAGTATTATGTAATACAATATATTTTTTATTTATTTTTTTCATATTATACTGAACTAAAAGAATTTTGTCACTTGCAGATTGTAGTATCCTTAATTTAAATTTCTGAAAAAAAATTAAATAGCCATTTTAACAAATTTAAAAAGTTTTTAAATTTGTTAAAATGGGTATTTAATTTTTTCGGTTTTTAATAAAAACCGATCAAGTGTGAGTCGGTCCTCGCTCTAGTAGGGTTGCGTACATAATATACCCAATTAAATAGATAGTTTCAAAGTTGGATATCGCAACACGCCAAGGGCGTCGCCAAGGGGGGTAGGGGGGTCCCTAGACTCAAAAAATGTATTCAAATGCAAATCACCAGTCTTATTTATTGTACAGTCAAGAGCACGTGGAGCTTTGCACACTGGAATTTGTACCGTTCTTATTACAATCGCCGTAGAGGTAAGACTCGCAATAGAATTATTCATGTGCATTTGTGCCTACACTTTTTATGAACTTGCCCCCTCTCCCCTATACCATCAGCTTGCGACGCCCTTGCAACAACCTGTAAAAGGAAAAAAAAGCCCAAAAATAATTCCTTTGTCTTGGTTACAGATTACAAGTTATATTAAAAATTGATGTTTTCAGTATTTGTTGTTTAAAAACAGTGCCGAAATTATAAATTCTCGAATCGAATTTAAAATTAAAAAAACAGACTCGGAAACAAAAATGATCTACTACTGATAAATTTGACAGCCCTACAGTTCTTTGTTTTGAAGATAAAAAAGATTAAAAAATATACTTTACTCAATCAACTCTAGATAATGGCACTCATCAAATCCTCCCTCTCGTCCATTCCCTCATTTTAGGTAAACATTCTACAACAAATTGTGAAACGAGGATTTTTAAGAATAATAAGAGCATTGTTTAAAATTAATTTAGCTTTTATGTTAGAAATTATTATTGCATTGACTGAGAACGCCAAATAATTTTACATCTCATTAGAAATATTTGAACTGATATGAATGTTTCAAAAAAGTTTTGTGTAATACTAAATTACAAATTTAATAAAATATTTTGTTAAGTTGGGAATTCAAAATGTAGATCTGTTTGATTTGTTTAGAATATATTAATAAATTGAAAAATGGTGATATTGTTTACAAAAGTCATTATTTAATTTAAAAAGATTATAAATGTAACTAATTTAATTTTTCTTTCTTCTGGGAGGAAATTTGATGGAATTGACATTGCCTTCGCGGTACTGGCCGCCGCGTGTGAACCAGCCACAGGAGCGAATGATGCAGTCAGAGCTGGTAGTGCCCAATGGAAGTCCCAAAGCACTGATCCGCTCTAATGTCTGTGCAGGGCCCGATATTATCTGTAACATGTAATATACATAATTCTGAACGTGTGCTTGCCACTGTTCATCCAAACCAGCTGGACCGATTTTGATGAAATTTTTGTGTGTGTTTGAGTGGATGGTTAAAATTTATAATTAGACCCGGTAGTTAGCGCTGTTGCCGAGACCCAAAAATCACCTGCGTCAAGTTAGGGTGGTCACTAGTATATTACATATAGTGACATATAAGTAAAGTAAAGTTACAGCCTATATACGTCCAGGCACAGGCCTCCTCTCATTTCTGAGAGGGTTTTAAAGCAACGAAATGTCCGCCGCGCTGCCCCAGTGCGTGTTGGCGAACTTCACATGTCTTCGAAAAATTTTTTTTTCTTATTTCTCAGACATGCAGGTTTCCTCACGATGTTTTCCTTCACCGCCGAGCACGTGGTAAATCAGTACTTAAAATTGCAATTAACAATTTCATTGGTGCCGGCGGGGATCGAACCCGCTTTGCTCGCGTATTGTGAAATTTACAGCGAGCGCTAACCATCTGAGCTACCACGGCTCATAATAGTGACATATTATTATAATATATTTTGGCTGCAGTATTATTTAAATGTGGTGTTCGCATAAACAAGAGATCATGTTATTTATATAGGTATATGTATACAGTTATCAAATAGAATAAAGTTTCAAGGAAACAGAATCCATCGTAATATACCTAGACCCGAATACCAACAATTCTTGATGTTGCTGAAACATTAGCCTCAGTTAAAATTTAAAAGACAAGATATGCGAAGTTGTGTTTTATGTAATTTAGCTTCTATATTTTCTAGCCGGTAGGTCTTTTCTGTATAGAAGTCTTATGAAGGGGAAGAAAACGTAAATGTCTTTCAATAAGTATTCGTGTAAAATAATTCAATAAAAATGATTCTATTCTAATCCGGAAATTCTTAGTCAGCTCTTACGATACCTAGTTAATAACACATACAAGCTTTCGTCTAACGATTACTAGGACTGTTTTTCTGTTTAGAAATTCTTCTAGGGTAGGTAGAAATAAGTGCGATGTTCAAGATATAAGTGCATTTCTGGAGAGTTCACGACTCGCCCAAGTCGCCGACTTAAATATAAATTTGTTAACGGGTTGCGTTAAATGATGTTTGGCGATATCAGACGTACTGTCTTGTTTATCTAGCTTGTAAGTAGTGTTTAAGCAAATACCTATTCTGTAATAATTTAAGCAAATTCAAAAATTGTTATAATACTTGTGACAATTATTTTCTTTGACTAAAATGAATAAAAATGTGTAATATATCTATGTTTTAATTTTTATCATTGCAACTTGTTGTTATTATTAAATGCATGTAAGTCGAGCGTTGATAATTACTGACGCATCAAATGTGATTCTCAGTGTTAAGACGTATGATACCAAGTGTTTATATCTGTTCTGCCTATAACTTATTGTTCGTATATTCAAATTTTATTGTATCTTAAAAAGTAATTTTCTTTTTTTGGGCGGAGTGATGTAACTACACTTAGTATAGTACCTAGGTATGTAACTAATACACTTAGTATATATTATAGTACCTATGTAACTGAATTGTAGTCAGTGACGATCAGGCCGGCACTGTTGTTACACGCGTAATAAAAATGTAATGAAACGCTGTCCCTTACAAGGATCTATTTCATTTCCAACACACTACACATACATCAGTTAAAGGTCCGTCGCACTTATTTCTGCTGCAAAATAGCATACCCGTACCCGTAAGCTTGTCTTCCTTTCTTCTCAAAACATTGGAAAAGGTTATAGATAGATATATAAGCCATACATTACAATCAGCATGCATGCAATTCTACGGAAATAGCCCTGTGTTATTGATAGGGTCGAAAAAGCACTGGAGGATAAAAAATAGCTCTTTGTGCCTTTCTAGATATTGAAGGCGCTTTTGGCAGAAGCCTTACATCACTGATGATTAGAGCCGTACATCTAAAAATGTTGACACCAAAACCATCAGGAGAGTAAAGTCCGGTCTGAAGCTTATAGAATCCAGTAATGACAGGCTGTAGGCATTCCGTCTCTCTCAGTCCTCAAAAGGCGATAACGCATCTGTAGATATCTTTTTTTGAAGTTGGCTGCAGGTGTCCACGGACCGCAGCGCAGTAGCCACTTACCATCATGTGGACGTGAGTTTGTCACTACAGTTTAAAAAAAATGAAACTTAAGTTCTAATAAAAATTGTATGCACTTACTCTCCCAAACACGACGTGCTTTTCATCGAACTGTGGTAAGGGTTTGAAAATTATATTGAATTGTCCGGAAACTTCATTATCCTTAGTTATCACCATAGATAAAACGCCTTGAAAGAACGTAGCAAATGTAAAATGAGTTGGTGCAGATTTTCTTGCAGTATTTATTATAACGATTGACTTTTTAAACGTAAGGAAAAAATAGGTTGTACCTAAATGTAACTTACAATTACAATTGCAAAAATATTTGCAGTCAGTGTTAGCACCTAAGACAACTCCGCTTGCTACCGTTCGCATTACCTACTTTGTTAACCACGAAAGAAGCAAGCATGTTGGTACATATCTCCTAAGTTACACATTTGTAGTCATAGCGCTGGTTAGTAGATATTTGTTTGGAGTAGTTTCTCTCAATATAATTTTGCCGATCTTACATAGCATACATTTAATTTGAAACTGAATTAAAGATTTTATTGGCTTGTGTAAAAAATATTGATATATCGTAATATCGAAATTTTCTCATAAAAGTATAGATATATATCGTCGATATTTTTAATCGCGATATATCGATATTTATTTTAAAGTATTGAATCCGTATCAATTTTGATATATTTTAAAATGTTGTATTAAAATTAAGCAACAAAGAATTCATGTGCTGTTGTCGGTTTATGTACTATATATATATCGATTTTTTTAAGACTTATACATCCCTAATCCTTCTTCAGCGCGTAAAAAATCACAGCTGGCTGCACAGATCATACTTTGGTATAGGCTTCCCTTGTTATAAGAAGAATTTTCTTTTATTACCACGTTTGGTCGCTTTTCAATCGTGCGATCGCAGTACCAGACAGTACTGTAACAGTTCGATGCTGCTTATTGTCGGCGATCGTGAAGTAATAAATAAATAAATATAATATTACTTTATGACAATTACATACTTATTAACGTTTGACCGGGAGCCATGAGAGTGATGGATTGTCTTTTTTCACTAAAACCACACACTAGAAATTTTACTGAAACACTTAATTGTTTAATAATAATTAATGTATAATATTATATTAACCATCAAATGATAACCTATTATGAGAATGGAATGCACGCGGGAAACCTTGTTAATTCTGACAAACGATATTTTTAAAACTGAATAATTGCGTACATCCATTCAAAAATGTCACTTCTAGGTTAATCCCACAGACTGGCAATGGAGTATTACCAGCGTGAGAATGTCGGTCTGCACTCAGTAATTCCTCCGCATAGTTAGGAAAGTATAATG